CAGTCTACGAAAACAATGAGTCGCTCTAAAAACAAATAAAACTATAACCAACTTCACTCAAATTTGCCGTATTATTCCAAAGACCAGTGCACATTTCTGCATATTTTCTTTTTAAATTTCATAATAAAACAATCCGCATCATCACAAAAAATCAAGCATGCAAAATAAGTCATCAGAACCCACAGTAGCCTAAAAGATCAGTTTTTTCAATGATAATTCCTTAATAAGGTCTAAGGACTGTCATTCTGACAAGGCCTCTTCTCTCAAGATTGACGCCCAACTACAGACCTCTTATAAAAATTGGTCTCTTATTGACATCCACCCCCTGATCCTGCCTCTGCATAACTGAGAACAAAGTCCTGTTTAATCGCTGCTTTCCTGACAACTTCTCATGATTTACAAGAATTTGAGTCCAATATCATGGCAGTGACTAAACCAACAAGACTCCCAGGAATCTTGAGAGTGGGGATTTTGTCTTGGTCATCATGGATTTAAATGCAGACATGAGTATTTAGCAGCAAATCACCCCCCAGCCCCTGTGTCTTAGTGCCGCCAGGGTCTCAAAGAAAAGTCTCGGTCAGAAGAATCATCATCCCCACCCCACAACGTGGGCTGGACAGTGCCTGGCCTTCCTCCTCCAAGACATCCAGGTTCCACTAACAGGACTCTCTCGTCCTTAACATTTCCCCAAAACCTTTCCAACAAACTTGCTGTAGAAAAGAAGGGGCACCTGAGACCAGCAGGTAATGTGATGAGGAAAGCTACTTTCAGCCTGACACCATATTTGCACCTCAACTATCAGATAAAACTCTGCTAACACGAATCATCCTCAGGCCAGGAACATGGGCAACAGTAATTCTATCCATTAGATAATCCTCTTTGGAGCTTTATCATTGAGCTGACTCTTCAATCTTAGGCCAGAAGGAGGCTCTACAAAACCATAAAAATTCTCTATCCAGCATGGCTTCAACCAGAAGGTGTTAACCTATCAGTCAACCCAGGTACCTTCACATCCACCCCAGAGAGTTTACTTCCGTCACCAGTTGCTCACTCCTAAGCTCATTGTGGCCCATGGACAGGGGTCCCTCTGAGTACCCCCTGTATCCTAACAACTACCCCACTGCTTCAACTGAGAGTCGGTCTAGGGATTAACAGGAGTCAGCACAAAAAGTAAAGACTGGACTCCAGCTCCTCAACTATAGGGCAGGGTCCCTATCTCCTCCGTGGGGTTGTTGTGTAGATAAAATAAGTTGAGAGCCTAAACCCATGTCTGCTCATGGTCAACACTTCAGAAATGGTAGCTGTTAGTGTTTTTGGTTGGTTGGTTTGTTTAAAAAAAAAAAGGCTCCTGGCTTGTCAAGGTAGGCACAAAGCTGGGTACAATATGTAGACACGTACACTCCAATACTAGCAGCAATGCTTTCCTTCTCTCCACTCACAGCAGTCCTAGCTCCAGAAGTAAGGAAGCTAAGATGGGGAGGAACCCCAGTTAAAATTAATTTTTCACTCCTCCTCACCTCAGATGATGCTAAACTCTTAAGCACCAACCAAAATGCAAACAAAATCCTCCACAGGCTTCAAACTCCAAGTGGCAACTAGCTTCTTCCAGTCTTCAGCACCAACCCTCCTTTTCCCCAGGCTCTCCCCTGGAGTTCCTACCAGTCACTCAAAACCAACATCCCAAAAGGAGCACACCTTCTTCCCCTCCCGGGTTGGTTCCTCTTCCTACTTCCTGCTCCCGTAGGCGACAGGCCCCATCCCCCTGTCAGCCACTGCACTGGACCTGGCCGTCTCTGGCTCCTCTCAGTACCCCCTGGTGAAGTCCTGGCTGTCCACACTTTCCCAAATCCATGCAAATGCTTATGATGATAGACAGTGATGTCCCCTCTACAAAAATATCTGAGGTACTTTGATTACATGAAGCAGCAGAGCAAGCATGTAGGCTGTGAAGGCCACTGCTCCAAACGGGGCTCAGTGGAGCAGGGACTCGCCTGGGGCAGGGGCATACCTTTGCCCAGCCGCCCGCCAGCCACATGTGAAAGCCGTGGCGGAGGGGTGGTGAGCACATGGAGACATTTCTTCAGTGCTGACACCAAAACCTCTGTGCTTCTCGCCACTCGCTTTCGCTGACATTTGTTTGGTTCTGATCATTACAGTACATGCTTTCCCTGTTCATATGGTGAAGAGCTTCCTCCGATTTGGGCTGTGAGCAGAGCCAAAGAATAAATCTCTGTCAAAGAGTTGTTCTGCCCAATTCTACTTTCGAAAATGAGAATTTTTATATTTTATGTGCCACAAATACAATCATGTATATTTTAACCAATATATATACCATTTTGCAAAGAGAACAAGTTAATAAATGGAAATAAAAAAGAAATACACACCAACAAGTCTACAAATATTCTGAGTATACTGATCAGCAGCTTTCAAAACCTGGCCGTTTTAATATAGCCTACCTACTTACCTTTCATAATATGAAAAAGAACTAAGTTCACATTTTTAAGTTAACTAGCTGACCAAATCCTTGATGTTACATACAGGAATGCCCCTTAAAAGAGGCCCCCGGTCCTCTCATGCAGCAGTCACTCACTGGGTGCCAAGGACTGCGGTGGGCACTATAGCAGTGTAGCCATGGGCACATAGCAATGTAAGCTGGCGAGCAGGAACCTAAGTGGCAGGGCAGCCGGATGCTGTGGTACATTACAATGAGGTCAGTCACAGTCACTGAAGGAGGAACCTGGAGGCAGCTCAGGGGAGGCCTCTCAGGGGAGGCCTCACAGCAGACCCCAGGGTTGCTCCACAACTGTTCTGCTAGCAAGCCCTTTCCTCTATTCTTCCCCAAGCAAACAGAGCTCAGCTCAAGCTTTACTTCCGCTCCAGGGAGCTTCCCCTGCCCACTCCCACCCTTCCTCTGCAACCCTCCCACACTTCATGTTGTCAGAGCCTAGTCCCCACCACCCTATCCACTGTGTGGATGTCCACTCCTCCAGGTGGGACCACTACTATCCTGTGCATCTCCAGTGTCTCATGCACAGGGCCTCCGATAGCAGTTGTTAAATGAAGGAAAGAAGGAACATGTGAAATAGGACTTGATACTCAGATGTGCAGATGGGAGGATGAGGGAGCTCCTCAAAATGAGCAACAGTCTGAAGTCACTCCTGCTGGAGCAGAAGGTTTGGATAAGGTAGAGACAACCATCAGGAATTCTGTCTGCCAGCTTGATAAGTACAGCCTCTATCCACTGCCAAAGTCAGCCATCATGGATACTGAAGGAGACGAATGACGTCATGAAATCAATGGTTTGGGAAGATTAATCTGGCAGCCACATCTCTAATGGATTGTGACCTGGTTCAAATGGACAATTCTGAAACAAGTAAATACTACACACTCAGCTATTGCACGTTAGAAAGATTTGGCTCTCACAGACAATAAGCAGCTCCTAAAACTACCTGCGTACACACACAAAACAGATTTTATTAAAGTATCACTGCATTTTAAAATGACAGCATAATTATATACCAACACAGAACAATGTAAAACAATCGCAAACTACTTCTTACTCTCCTGACAATGACATTCAGCCATAACTGGCAATATCCTTCCTCTCCCAATACCACATCAGTGCTGACAAATCGTGGTACCAGGGCTGAGGGCTAGGCCAGGGGGGATGACTGAGCAATCCCTCTGGAACAAGCCCATATGACATCTTCCTGATTTAGGTAGCACTGCATGCCATTACAGTTTCTTTTTCTCCAAGTGGCCAATGACTCCTCCGTGGTCCTCCACACTTGTCCGTGACTGGAGGTCCATGGCAGACGTCACCTGCAAGGGATGTCTTGCAACAGCCTGAGTTTCCTGTCTGGCTCCTTGGTCCCACACATGCCTACCAAGCGGAAACATGACTCCAAACTTGAACCTGTCTCCCACTTGGCTGAATGATGGTACAGCACATATTCTTGCGTAAGCATGGAGCTGAGATACGGCTGAAACGAAGCAATTCACGTAAATTAATGTTTCTACACTGGTTTAAATGAATGTTCCTGCGCTCAGTTTCCCGTTTCAAATTGTACAGCTTATAACATCTCTGTTGCATGAATAGGAAGGGACAATGGAATCTCACTTACCAGGTCTACTTATAATTTTAGTTGTGATTTCTGTATGTTGGTGACTAAAAATCTGCTCTTTTTTAAGAGTTTATGTTCTACTCTCTCGGTCAGGGTAGAGCACAACAATGTGAAATAGAATAATTCACTGTCTGTAGAACTGCGTGGGTTCAGATTCTGGGTCAAGCGCCATGGTGAAAAACAAAATAAGGACACGTCTTACCATTATCTGCCACATCTTTCAGAAGGATGCAAAAATGGCGATATGAACAACAGAATGTTCCTATTTTCAGGGAGAGAAAAAGAAATCTTTCCCAAACCTCATCATAAAAATTAAATGTACAATTCCCTCCAGCAAGAATTTTATTTTTAATTTTCATTTACATAGTATCTTTCTTCCAGAATTTCAAAGTAATGGAGTGCCATAAATACTTGTTTAAAAAAAAAAAAAAAAAACCGTTGTCACAACAGAGGAGGTGAACAGGCTTGGCAGGGCAGGAGCACAAGAGAGAAGGGTAAGAAGGGACAGGCAGTGGTGGCATCAAGCGCTGGGGGTTGGCATTGCCCGTGCTGACGGCATCTCCATCACACCCCTTCCTTTACCCACAGCCCACAGGCCCTGCTAATGTTCGCAGCTTCAGGCTCTTCATGACAACTTATCTTCGGTGTAAATTTACTTGCTTCTATCAAATTAGTATTATCTAAATAGTAATTTACCCCCTAAAACAAGAGGAAATGAACCTGACAGGTTTAAAAGAACAATAAAACAAGGGTGCCTAAAATAAGTTAATATTCCTTTTGGGTTTAAAAACATAAAATTAAGTTAGAAGATAAAACATTAACAATTTACTAGGGGGGAAAAACCCAGTCTAAGAAAGACTATTGCTTTTAGGAGGAAAATGGGAAGCAGCTTTTGAATTTTTTTTTTTTTTTAATAAAACCTGGTGGACAGGATCTCAATGTCTTACATTAACGAAAGGCTGTCAACACCCAAATAAATTTTCAATGACAGTAAGAATGACATTCTATTTCTCGCAAGTTTGCAATGCTCAACTTAAGAGCTAATTTGTCAATTTGTTTTTCCCCAACGAAGCTCAGAACACCTCACAACCATATATAAAAATTTTTCTGAGAAATGTTAACTGCATCTACTTATTGAATAAACACAGCCTAACAGAAAGGTGTCTTTAAGAAAGCAGGCTCCATGCCACTGTAAGAGGAATACTAAGGAAAAAGAAGCTACTTCCCTGGAGTTTCGGGGTAAGCTCTGGTAACTTCCTCCTACGTTAACTTCATAAATCACAATCAAAAGCATCCAGGATTTCAACTGTCAACTGATGGAGCATCTGCCATGTGCAACACCCAGTGGGCCCTGTCCATTCCCACAGCCTCTTCTGTTTCAGAAAAGTGTGGGCCGTTTTGTTGCAATTCCAACTCATTTTCACAAATGCTTCATTGACAGGTAGCAGGATCTAGTCAGTTTCATTTAAGGTGAATCTCCTACCTGACTATTTTTTCAGTTGCTCTGTAGTGTTAGGTATGTCCCGAGGAGGAATACTCCCAACCCAGCTCCTTTCTAGTCAACTGTCTGATTGTGTTAGCTGGGAACAACGTGGGGAAGAACGGGCAGCTTCCTCTTAGAAGACCCCCGTGGGTGGATCCACGCCAGAGTCTGGCAACCCTGTGGTCACAGTAGCTTCCTGGGCTGCCCCTAGCCCAGGGCTCTCATAAACATAAAAGAGGATAAAGATTTCAGATTAAAATTAAGAAATTAACAAGCATTTATTGTGTGTACAACATATGTGCCTAATATTATCCTATAATTACAGTAAGAATTAAAATTATTTTTATTAGAGTTGTTTACTTTTTAAAGGAAAAGCTGTTGATAGGTTTTGCAACAAATTAGATGTCTTTCAGAAAGAGTTGCTTGCCCTCATTAGGTATTTTAACTGTCATGTTTTGTGAACAGAGTAGCACAAGACTTTAAAAAATCTTTAAGTCACCACCCAGGTGCATTAGCCCAGGTGTTTCAAAGCTGCTTGAGGCATGGAGTAAATGCGAGCAGCACCACAGGTTCGCTCTCAAGCCCTATTAGCTTCTGGCAGGGACTCTTCCCTTCCAGCCAGACTGCTCCCCTCTAACAACTTTCTCAGAATACAGCTTAAAAGAGGAATGGATTAAGGCGCAGCAAATCCAAAGCCAGGACAGGGCCAACAGCTCAATAAAATCTTAGTTGTCATCTTAAGTAAAATCCAACATACTCACAGTCATATCTACGCACAAACCAAAGCTCGGTTCTTAACCAGATAGCAAAACCAGGGCTGTCTTCTGGTTTTCAGGAACATAGCTTGGAAACTCAAATGGGAAAAAAGATAATTCAGAAGGCCCCGCCATTAATATCTTAATAAATATCCCCCTAACAGAGTTAATTTTTTTTTTTTTTTTGGAGGGGGGGTTACTATTTAAGCTTGTATCTCTAAATGGAGAACTTTTAAGGAAAGTGATTTCTTTCTGAATTCTAAATCAGTATTAGGATGTAACAAAATGTACCCAAATACTCAGGTCAGTAAGTGTTTATTAAATCAAAAGTCACAAATGAATTCACAACTTCTTTGTTATAAATGTTACATAACACAGAAATTAAACGGCTTGTCTAATTACGCCATTACAGTTTCTTTTTCACTCCATCATCTGCAAATGCTCCATTCTCTTGGGTATCCAGGCACCCAGTTTCTGAGACGGCATGACTGGAACATCCCGGTAAACAGCGGTGGGGCATAGTGAAAGGCTGCAGGGCTCCTCTTTAAATAGCTTCAACAAAACGAATGGCAGTAAGTAAAAACCGTCCCTATGCTTTGCTATAAACCTGTTGCTATCAAGTCCTTTCCGAATAGTAGAGACCCTATAGGACAGAGGAGAACTGCCCCACGGGGTCTCCAAGACTGTAAATCGTTAAGGAAGCTGGCTGCCACATCTTTCTCCCAAGGAGCAGCTAGTGGGTTTGAACTGCCGATCTTTCGGTTCGCAGCTAAACCACTGTAGCACCAGGGCTCCTTATGCTTTGCAATAGTAAGACTCAAATACAAGATTCCAAGAATTCCACCTGTTTCCAATTAGATACTTGAATTGCTTGAGTGTTTAAACTACATTCACTTGCTACTTACACAAAACAATTCTTCCGGGTTTTCTGAACATTTTAAATACGTTAAAATAAGATTAAGGGTCTGGTTTAAACAGTCAGAGGCAGTGAAATTTCAACTGAAATCGAACTCTCTCTGAAGCCGTAATGCATAGCTTTAGAAAAACAATAAGACTAGAGAGACACATCTATATAGTGACAATTATAAAAATCAGCCATTTCTCAAGGAAAAATAATTATATTTTAAAATGTTACACATTAAATTATTTTAGATAGGCTTTTAAATAATTTCTAAATTAATTTATGAATGTTGTTTATTAAAATAACTTTTACAGTAGCTTTTATGTAGCATTTGTGTTGCATTCCATTAACGAAAAACCAACCCCACTACCCGACCCACAATGACCCTACAGGACAGAGGAGAACTGCCCCATAGGGTTTACAAGGCTGTAAATCTTTACAGAAGCAGACTGCCACATCTTTCTCCCGCGGAGCGGCGGGGTTCAAACCACTGACCTTTTGGATTAGCAGCCAGCGCTTTAACCACTGTACCACCAGGGCTCCTTACATTCCATTACATAAGGTCAAATACATGAACTACATTAAACGGAAGAACAGGTAGGAATTTTAGCCTAGCTCTGGAGGATTTTTCATATGATGAACTTTTTTAAAAGGTACAAGTTTTCCCCTCCACATCTGTCCTTCCTTCATTTCACCATGGATAGTCCTTGGGTTTTATAAATCAGCTGAAACAAATACAGGTTTTCTACTTCTGGCCTTGTTTTCTCTACTAAGAATGTAAGCACAGCCTCAGGAGCAGTTTTGACTGTGAGCTTCTACAGGTAGGCCCGGAGAGGGAGTGCAAGAACATAAACCATTGTTTCCGCACGGCTCCAGCACAAACCCTAGTGAGTTTGTTTTAATTGTACAGCAGCAGGGCAGAGGACTTTTTAAACAGCCAGTAAAGGTCCTGGGCTCAATCGGCTCACCAGACAGCATTTTTAAGGTCAGCCTAGTGGATATGGGGAAGAATAATTCCTTAGAGGACTGGCAGTTTGTCCCTTCCCTTTCCAACTTCCTCATGTAGCTAACTACCAACGTCAGTGATGTGAAAGTGAAGACGCAGAAGGGGTCTCTGTGGGCCCAACTGCATCAGGAGTTACTGCGTAACTCCATCCCTTCACTGACTTGCAGCTAGTTGAAAAAAAAGAAAAAGAAAAAACCCACAGAGCTTCACACAGGAAAAAACTTCCAATGACTGATAATGACCCCTTCACACATCCAATCTCAAAGACACCAATATTAAAATAACCAAAAAAAAAAAAAATAGCAGCAGTGTAGAAGCCCTCTATTTACTCATTATTGTGTTTTATAAAGGATACTAGGTGGTATATGTACTTTAATTAAAATAATGTAATTCTTATGGGGAAGAGTCCCGGGCTGCAGGCAACATACACACTTCCAAAACGGGAAAACAAAATAAAAGCAACTAGAAAGTGGACTTTCAGCAAAATGAAATTTGTTTTCTTATTTTGAAAAAGAGTAAAACGTTTAAAGTTCAGTTTTGTAAAGGCTCCTAAGAACCTGAAAGGGAGCGCTGGTCCCCGTGGAGGAATAATGCCCAAAAGGGAAGGCAGTCAACGGCAGGCCCCAACCCCAAAAGGTCACAATGGCACTAACGTGCAGAGTTACACAAGCTTGTTTCAGAAAGTGTCCTCTTTTCAAACATGTATTTGCATTTAAAAGGTATATTTATACAATAGTGTTTTTCTTATTTAAAAAAAATAATAATTTAAAGCCTGGTTTTTACAAGTCTGAGATAGGATAAAAACTTGTCCAACTAGTCTTGGCAGCGCCAAAGCACTGAAACTTCCATACTACAAGGCTTTAGGACTAAAAAGGAAACGAAATAAGGCTCAATCATCAGAAAGTCTCTTCCTGAGCACTCACTCCACGTCCCATGGCAGCCTTCAAGACAGACCAAGCAGAGGGACAAGGGCACAGCCCTGGCTCACTGCATCCTCAGGGAGGCGCAGGATGGCAGCGTTCCCCCTGGATCCACTGAGATCCAGAGTGCTTTCAAGACCTCTCTAACCTGAACTCACAGAGAGCTGAGACCCAGGCTCTTTACCCTCAGGTGGCAATGCCACAATGCACACTGGGCTCCACAGGCAACCCGATCTCAGTGTAAGGGGTTCTGGAAAGACGAGAAGAGTCTGAAACTACTGGATTCTCTCTCAAACCGCAGTCTCATTGACTCAACTTACCATTGGTGGGAACAGAGATGACCCTAAACCAGATAACTCAAAAGGCCTCTTCAGGGCCCAGGAAAGAACCAGTTTAGGCTTACACTTCCACTCTGGCATTCCACGTTCAATTGAAGTTTTCAAACATGCGACAAAGCGGCAATTGGAAATCACGCAAGGCCAAATTATTATCTACCACCAAAAGGCACTGGATGCGCAAGAAAGAGAATGATACTCAGATAAAGAATTTTTTTTTTTAAATCAACATATTAAAGTTCATTCAAGCACACTGAGAAGGAAACTCTCACTCTAGCCTTAGAGCCACACAGTTAAATGTCCCCATGATCCCAGATGATGCAGCTAATCACTGGCAAGAGAGGGAGTGGGTCCAGAGAGTTCACAAAATCTAATAACTCTCTAGACACCAAATCTATTTCCCAGGCAGTTTGGCCAGGATGTTTAAAAAAGAAACTTCATTGATACTAAGCTAGGATGTCACACTTACTAAGGCAAGAAAAGAAAAAATTAAGATTTGTCTTTTAAAACTCCACAACGGGTTTTACAGTAAGCACAGAAATTAAATTATGGTAAAAGGGAGCTATTTTTACTAAAACAGGGTAGACCAATTTATCAAAAATGCCATTCGGCTGTGTTCATTACATTCAGGAATCTAATTTACACAACAGACACTTTGGAGTAATCTATTTTAGTCAATAAATACTCAAACTCCTTTAAGTTTAATCTTATCGGAAATACATATTTCACAGTCTTCTTCCTAGTTAAGCGAGAAATCTGAGTAAATTTCATAACGACTCCGAGACTACTTTATTGTTTTTACGTAGGGAAGACCAAAAAACAAGCATATACAATTAAAGTCGTCAGACTCCATTTATATATGTTTTAATCCCATCCGCTTCATTCCATACAAGCCTGCATCTGGAGTTCATTTGCTTTACTCCTACAGGTACCGTAGGTCACAGTCACCAGTCTCCCGGTTAGGAAAGTTCAGCCAAGTCTACCTTCACGCACACCTTAAAGTTGGCAGCAGTAGCTGTTCTCTAGTGACGCTAAGGGACCCCAGAGCACCAGGTTCCCCTGAGCCCTTATAAGCTGCACCCCCCGCCCCAGCGTTCACGGAGCTTCTGGCCCACAGGTACCTCACCTTCAACTTAGCTCCGGCTACGCACAACATCCACCTGGCAGAGTCCCGAGACTGATCAGGAACCGCGAGCGCGGAGATGGCATGTGCCGGGCGGACCCCGAGGGCGCACCGCTCCTCAGGGTGGGGGGCGACGAGCAGGAAAGCGCCCCCGAGGAGTGGCGGCGACTCCGGCGCCGGATGGAGAGTCCCGGCACGATCCCCTCGTCGTGCCTGGGGCTCGGAGCAAGAACTACGGCCCAGCACGCCACAGTCCTGTGGGGTCCCCGTAGGTCTGCTTTCAAGAACCCAGCCTGAGAAAGCATTTCGGAGCGGACCCGCTGCGCGCTCCATTCCGCTCGCGGACCCTGCTTAGAGAGTAGAGCCCCAGAGTAGAGGACGCGAGTGGAGCAGGCAGCGGGTCAATGGGGGCCCCAAGGGCCCCTGAGTGCGGGGCGAAGGCCGCCAGGACAGGAGGCTAGGAGGAAGTGCCCCTCGCCGAAACAGCGCGTCTGGGCAACGCGCAGGGCCTGCGCTCGGGGAAAGTTGCAGCTCTGCTCCCGCACCCGCGTCCACCAAGCGGTCCCGGGCGCCCCGACCTTCAGGCACTTCGCCTGGGGCACCCCGCCGCCCCTCGCAAGTTTCCCCAAAGCACCCTAAGGAGGTCCCTTGCTGCGTAGGGGCAGGTTGGCGCCACTCCTCCGAGCACACAAAAGACCCGGGCAGCTAAGGGGTGTGCGGGTGCCCCCGGGGCGCTCCCAGGGACGTAAACAAACCCCGCGGACCGCGCAGAGAGAGGA